TATTTAGAATTTTCTATTTCAGCATCCATTGTGTAAAATTTTGGCAAGAATATTGAAAAGTGTTGAAAAAGTTGATGAAATTTTTGCACTTATTTGACCTTTGACCTCCTAAAAATAATTTTATTGAGGTCAAACTTTAAGACAATCTATCTGCTGTATATTCCTTTTAATTTTAAGACCTCATATCTGACTTTAAAATGTGCTGGAATGCATGAATGTGTCTAGGATGAGCAAAAAACGAAAAATACTGTCCGAAAATTAATTGAAAAATACCCCGTTGCTAAGCAACCCCTTTAAAGTCATTATATGCAGAATTGAAAAAAAAAAGTTTATGTGATTCATGTAGTACAGTATAATGCTCTTTGTGAGTATATTCCAAATTTCCTATTTCAACATACATCATTGTTAATTTTTAGCTTGAAGATTAAAAAGCATCGAAAAATTCCATAAAATTTTGCACTTATTTGACTTTTGACCTCCATTTCTACTAATAAGGTCAGTCGTTGGGTATCTGAATAGTCATGAAATATCATCTCTAAGAAATTCCCCACAAAATGGTATGCATTATGCCTAGCTTTCTCCTTGGATAAAAAGGTTAGAAATAATTCGAAAATGCTATGTCAAAAGGTCTCCAAAATCACGTAAAATGCGCCGGTAGAGAAAGGGTTAATTAAACCTTTATTCGGTCAGAAAAAATTACGACGAACCAGTCACAGACAACCATTCAATCGCCATATATTCGAGAGTTGTCCCAGAAAAACGCAAACTTTTAAAATATTTCATAAACTACCTGACCAAAATTTTTCATTTTTGGCATAATGTTGGGAAATGATATTTTCGTCATTTTGGCTAAGTAATATATAAAGTTCCAATGCCATTTGCATATATAATTAGCATTTAAAGGGTGTTAAATATCTGTGGTAATTTCTTGACTTTCAAACATAGCGTTGACAGCGATGTTTTCGTTATTACCAGGCTATACGGAAATATATTGTGACAATTATATCCTTACAATTTTATGATCTAGAGTACTTGCGTGTAAAAAATCAATACTCTTGCATCATAAAAAACAAAGATATGACTTTATATGCACAAACATTATTGATTAGATATCGAGCGATAATCCAGCGCACTCAGTGTAGTGTGGAGCGGGATTTGAACCCTGTTCATACGGAAAAAGAGTTGGGAACGATGGAACGACACAAATACATGTATCCATCACAGGTTTATACACAGTAAACGACATTCAAGGATGAATTGGCTGGTTATCCAATGGAGGGAGTTTTTGGTAGATCAACAATTGACGACAAACTGAAAAGGTAAAGCTGGACGTCATATATGGAGACTGGTTTATGATCGGGGATGGGAAATTGTCTATTGAAAAGAATTTATTATTTGATTTATTATTAAATGTTGTACGTGTTAAATGGATAACTCGGTAACTAAAAAAACATTTTTGCTTAAAATATTTTTTTAATGACACACGATTCCTGAACAAATTCAAAAACTCCACGAGCTACGTTTTGACGTCGTCGGTGTTGCGCCAGCAGATAATATTCATGATTCGTTTACCAAAGAGAAAAATGCCATTTATAGAGATATTTTACTGAAATTTTTGTGAAGTATCTAAAAAATGTTGACGTTAATGCATGCCAATTTTTAACTTTATAAAATTAGTGAAACAAAAAGTATTGAAAATGTTCGCGTATTTCTATATATATATATATATATATATATATATATATATATATATATATATATATATATATATATATATATATATATATATATATATATGTGTGTGTGTGTGTGTGTGTGTGTGTGTGTGTGTGTGTATGTGAGGGTGTGTGTGTGAGGGTGAGGGTGCGTTTGTAAACACCTTCAACTCAGCTCAGGTACTTATTGACACATCAATCAACTCACTACAGTTTTCCAAGTCACTACAGTAATCACTGTAGTGAGTTGCCGTTTCACGAAAAATGGGTAGTTCTCGATTATTTATGCCCAAAAAATCGAGAAAAAAAGTTGGTGTCATTTGACGGTTTACACCCGTATTTTCACACACCGACTTATGATCAAAAAATGGCCCTTACACACTTTACTCGGTTTTGATTCTAGCGCATGCGCAATGCAGACTAATACTATGGCCGACTTCCGGTATGTAATGATCTCGATTTTTCTACAAAGCAACAAATGATCTCATCAGGTAAGTTAATTTTCTGTTGATTTTACCGTGAATTAAAGCGTTAATTACAAAACATCACATCGTTTCCATATACAAAGATATTAATCAATCACTCGATAAACATAGAGTATTTAGATTTCGTTGTTTATATGCCCTTGAAAAATTTATGTTCAAATCCCTTAGTTATAATCCACAAAATAAAACTTTAAGGTTAAAGAATTATTTAAATATATTTCCATATAACTTTAAATCCACTACATGGCCCAATCCATTTGTTAAGCATAATTTGCAGTCGTCATCGAGTCTAAGTTCGAATTTTCTCGAATTATTCATAATGTTGACATGTTTCTATTTCATGCACTCGTATCAATTAATCATGTTCAACTTATATAAAAAATTATACTTCATGTAATATATCAAACGTATCTGGTTCTTTGTTCTAGTTATGAACTGAACTGGAATTATCTCTATCCTTTATAGTCACACATATTGCCATCAACACATCTTCAGTTCAGAAGTTAAATAAATTATTTTATGAAGTTAGAAATTATTTATCTTATTTATCTTTGTCCAAGACATGCACTTCATTTGTAATTTATTCTTTATTTAAAAAAAAAAATTGCTTCAAATATGTATGATTACAAAAGTATTTAACAGTACGTTCTCACTATATAAGAATCACACTTTTCGATTTTAAATGTTTCTCGACTGATTTTACAGAATTTCAAATGAACAAATTCATTTAAATATTTTCTAATACAATGTCCCTGATGTATGTCACAATGGAACACCTGCACATGTATTGTATAAAAAGAATTTAGAAAGATTAGATATCTTTATAATGGAGGTACGTGTATGATAAACTGTTTTGATCGGAAGGGGAAATGCATTTTTAAAATACTACGGCTAATGTAGACAAGATCAGAGTTCTCTTTCATCCAAAAATAAAGTATGCTCAGTTCTTCTTGTATGTGTCCTTAAAGCTGGTAAACTAATCAAAATATGAAAATCTGCAAGTTTTTGTACATGTATTCAGATTGGAAACTTTAATCATTAGTTGCTTACCTGTCCGTGTAAGAGAAATAATTACAGTCTCTAGACTTGATGAGGTGTGATTACGGTAATTGTAAAATGTGGTTTCCAAGACTTTACCTTATTTATTCATTAGAGTTAGTGATTCATGTTCACTATTGTTTCATCAGAAGGAGATGATCCAGGAATTTTTCCGGGGGGGGGGGGGGTTCTTCCGGGGGGGGGGGGGGGCAAAAAAAATCCAACTGAGAAATTTACCCAAAACTTAAAAAATAAATAGATAAATTTTAAAAAACACAAACTTGTCCATCCCCCCCCTTCCCCCCCCCCCCCCCCCCCCCCCCCCCCGAGAAAAACTACAATTTGAAAACTCAAAAAAAAAAAAAAAAATAAAGAAATAAATAAAAAATATAAAAATAAAAAAAAAAATATGAGTGGACTGGACTGGATCGGTGCATGAATTGCTAAACATTGTCCATCGTATATATAAAGAACTGCATAAATTTTACACTTAGTCTAATCAGGGACTATATATAGAAATATCTATTTGAACATTGTTAATGCCTCCCCCCTCCCCCCTCTCCATTTACCATGTTTATTTCTAGTAAAAAAAAATTGTCTGATTAACCTATTCTACTCAAATTTACTCAAGTAATAAACTTTTTTTTTCTGTGTAAAATTTCATTCCGAGTCATCACCGGAACGAATTACTACTTAATCGTAACTGTTGTGGCGTGATGCTTGATTGTGAACCTAATAACATAGAAATACTTATTGGATTATACCTTCGATGTCATTCTGTGATTTATTTTAGTATGTAAATACCCCTCATGGTAAGTATAGAGTAAGAAACGTTATATAAAGGTGTAAATGACAATTTCAAAATATTTACATGATAAACAAATCAGAGGTCATTCGAGTCACGTATAAAATTATTAAGTCATGCATGTGATATCAGTCAAGTGCAGATATTTCACAAAGGTTTGGTTGTGCATATATTTTAAACCTTTCACTGTGGTGTTTGTGAGCGTGATATGTGATACAGCTGTGATACCAACACGTAAAAGAAGATAGGCTAAGTGAGACTCTTGTAAATTCACATACACACACAAAAGATGTAAAGGTTGCTCCACACCTCTTCAAATTAAGGCTTTGCCACACTACAGCATGTACAAAGCTTAAAAAACTTGCATCGACGTACAGAAAGATTAACATGCTCGCTGGCATATGCTGAAGGCTTGTGCCATGCACCATAATCATGATAATTGCACTGAAGTAAAAAAAATTTAAAATGGTCATTAAATCAACCATATTAGCACCAAAGTGTGCATTCAATTTTCCCTTTGCTCTGTTCATTGGAAAGATTTCGACATTATATCTTTTAAAGGAAAGGTTTGTTTTGTTTGTATGTTGTTTAACGTCCCTCTCGAGAATTTTTCACTCATATGGAGACGCCACCACTTGCCAGTGGAGAGCTGCAAATTTTGTCCTATACTCGGCATTTATGGCCATTGAGCAGTGAGGGATCTTTTTTGTGCCAGCACCTACTGTGACATGGGATCTCGGTTTATACGGTCTCATCCGAAGGACCGGTCTCCACGTCCCACAGTGGGATTCGAACCCGCGACGTAAGAATCAACTCCTTACTCCGCGACTCTAGAGCAGACGCTCTAACCACTGCGCCACACGGGCGACTTTAAAGGAAAGGAATTGTATAGTTTGATATGTGCACACCCTAGATTTTGGAAATGTTAATGCTCTACTTTTATTGTTTTAATTACTTTCATTTTCAGATGTTTATTTTTTGCGAATGTGTGCATTTGGCCGGAAAACAATCTGACATTCCACCTTGAGATGTTATTTGAGAGTTGTTCCATCCTTAAATGTAAAGCAAGGATTTAAAACAGTGTGAGAAAGGGTTAACATTGTCGCCTATGGGAAATGTATTGGTGGACTGTATACCCCATATATATTGAGTACGTCTATTGGTAAGCATGCTAAGAGAAATTCTACTTGTTAAAAAAATTGTACTTTCAGGCTGAGTTGAAGTTTGTAATTTAATAATATTATCATTTCCAATTGTTGAAATCTATGAAATACACAACTTTTATTTTGCTTAATGTGCATATTTTAAAACAAATTGAGTCGCAATATAGTGTCCTTCCAAAATTTTGAGGTGAAATAGACATAGTGTATATAGACACAGTTAAGGCACGGAACCCATATATGAAATTTAGAAAAGATGTACGGGCTCCACAGACCCAAGATATGGACAAAGAATCTGAGGTTGAAAGCAAGGTGTTCTTGTGCACAGAAACCAATGTGTAGGCAAGGAATACTTGTCCCAAGAAGACAGTTTCTAACTTACAAAATTTGAATGAGGCAGATTTGGTTCAAACTATATACATGTATTTTTAATCTCACAGCTTTTTACATAGCATGATCATAACTTCCTTTGTGCAAATCAGATTAGAAGGATTCATGATCCTGAGCTAATATAGCTTGTGTCTTTCTTAATTTATAAAAGATACATAACTAATATACATGTATATCACTTGGAATTGTACTTAGGTCAACTTGAATGATTTTGTCACTTTTGAACTAAAAGTCTAAGTAAGTAAGTCTAATATAGAAGCCATGTGAAATCTTTATCCTTGGATGTTTCAATGCAAGCTGACAGACATTGAAATAGTCTTTGTTGATCAATGACGATTTAACCTAAGTTAACAATCTCATTTCATTTTGTGTCATCACATGATAAAGAAAGTTATGATTTTATTAAATTCAAATTGAACAAACTTAGGCTGAAAAAAACAACAACATGTATTTCCCATAACCCAGCTGACCTAATTTTACCCACCGACTCTACTACTTTTTATTCCAAATCGAGATTTTGAATCATACTTTTGTTCATAGTAAAGTTTTCTCGTAGTGCAGTCCATAAAATGCATGTCTCGTACACTGTAAAAACCTGTTTATCCAAGAGTCTTAAAGAGTACTCCTACTTTATATATATATATATATATATATATATATATATATATATATATATATATATATATATGTATATATTATACACCTATTTACTGGCTATGAGGACAATAGCAAGTTTATCGTTCCCCAAGACAGCAACTATTTCCCGAGGCGCAGCCGAGGGAAATAGTTGCTGTCGAGGGGAACGATAAACTTGCTATTGTCCGAATAGTCAGTAAATAAGTGTTTTATTATACCGAAGCAGTCTTTACTTGTGTTACGTCACAATCTGGATAAAACCAGAAGAGTTCCGAGATGAAAAGCGAGGGAAACAGAATGCTGCCGGTGAATAGTTTAATGACTATTTCACCATGGGCAAATAGCACAAAAACTATTCCACGGTAGGGGCTGTTTGGAAAAAATAGCATGTTTATTCGTAATATTTTATATAGAAAAAATTCACAGAGGTATAATAAATATATATATATGTTTGTTTGTTTATTCATATACATGTATGTTTATGTACATGTATATGATAGAAAAACAATGTACAGAATAATTAATTGATGCTTTCAAAATGAAAAGTGTTGCTTGTGTGATGCAGTGGTTAGAGTGTTTGCTCTAGAGTCGCGAAGTAAGGAGTTGATCCTTAGATTGCAGGTTCGAATCCCATCCCACTGTGGGACGTGAAGACCGGTCCTTCGGATGAGACCATATAAACAGAGGTCCTATGTCGCAGTAGGTGCTGGCATGAAAAAGATCCCTCACTGAGAGCGGAGTATAGGTCTATTAATTTGCAGCCCTCCACCGACAAGTAGTGGCATCTCCATATGAGTGAAAATTTCTCGAAAGGGAATTAAACAACAAACAATCAAGTAAACAAAATTAACAGTAAAGTAAAAAAAAAAGTTATTCCCTACTTACCTAGCCTAATTTTTTTTAGCATATGTCACCAGAAACACATAATTTTTTTCATTTGGCCTAATTAAGTTAAATTACTATAGAATTGTGCATTGAATCATTTGATTCTTAATAAGAAACTACTATAAATTGTTAAAATGATAGTGTAGATAAGTTCTATAAAAATGAATGTGGCACTCTCATACATGTATTAATTTCAAACTTTAAAAATTCTAAAACTAATCAAATTAATAATGTAAAGCATTGTAAAGTTTGTATTCAGTCTCTATTTGGCATCTACAGCAACATCAGGGGATTCTCCAAGATCCTAACCCAGATCTAGATGAATTAATTAAGGCACATGCAGATCTCATGACTCCATATTTGGTTATTTTTTGACATGGTCGGTTTCCCAAATCAGGGTCTCCAGATATGGAAAATGGCACAGGTTTCTGGTACAGGTTTTTCAGAATCCATGAGTTCATGTAGGGAACCTAGCACAACTTTCTGTGAAGGGTTTATTTGTAAAACTGTGTTATGTTATATTTCAGTCATTATCCCATGCCTGTTCTTGCCTTGACCACTTTTTCGCATGGCTTTCTATACATATTTTACATATATAGGAGGAGAGATGCTAGTCTGTTACAGGTTTATGGAAGCTGAATTTGTGTCTGTGTTTAAACCACCCAGACAGTTTCATATGGGAGTAACCCCCCCCCCCCCCCCCTTATGAACATACAGCTAATTCTCATACCTCCTGTTGTTTACAGTTACATGTATGTAGCGAATAAATTCAATTAATGTGTCAATTTATATTATTTATTAATTCAAAGCTAAGTTGAATATATTTTTACATAAGGATTCAATATGTACACAAAAATTCACAAACGAGGTCGGAATCGGTATTCAGTCAAGTTCAAGTTCAAAGTGAAAGTAGTGTACTCAATGTACAGGCCAGCAGGGTCTTGCAGTATGTAAGTGACATGCATGTGTCATTTTATGAAGGGGTATAAATGAAAACTATTATCATGGAACAGGATTACATGAATGAGGACATGTACATTCTTTGGAAGCAGTCAGTCAACTTATTCAAGTGTGTGTGAACATGCACACTAACATTTTTCATATTTTATTGATAGCATGATCGATACATGTATTAATTTTGTCTAATGTATTATTTGTCAGCATGGTCAGTAAAACATGCTTTTTAACTGTATTATTTATTTAACTAAACAATGTTGGGACTTAAATCAGTGCAAGATGAAGCAAATTCACAATTTATGATTATTTTCAAAAAATGAACATAAATGGAACGTGGAACGTTTGTATGTGTGTAATGTCTGTCTGTGAATGTTTTAGGATAGATGTTTTGTGATATTGAAGTATAACATCGATTTTTTTAGGTTCATGGTGATACAGGAAAACTTCAAGGTTCCTGCAGATGGTGTTTAAAACTATTGGCCAGTGAACACAAACCCATTTAATTATATTTTGAATCTTCACCAGGAGAAAAAAGATGGCAGTACTTCTAATGCGTAAGTAGAATTGTTTTAAAAAGCTTCTTTTTTTTGTTTTGGGGTGGGAAGAATGATTAAACAAATACATCATGTACATAAGCGTTGAAATCCCTTTAATACAGGGTGTTTCAACAAACATGTCCTTCTTTTACTACTTCACATGAGTCCGTCAAAAAAGGAAAGATCAGTGTTTTGTAACGATTTATCTAAAAATAAACATTACAATGCAGTCTTTGCCAAATCTTTTTTTCAGTACATGCCCTTCGGGCAGGTTTAACCACTTATTACGCTAGCCCGAACAAATATTCACATGCCCAGAATTTTATCAAGTAATTTTATTCTTATTTGCCTTTGCATGGCAAGGAAATGATCCGAAATCCATTTCTATTGATCTATTGTCTAGCCATTAATATTGTTTTCAACCTGTACACTTTTTGTGTTTCTTTTGCAAAAGAGTTCCCTGGAAATCGTGGTAGAATAAACTATCGTTAAAATTTTATTTGGTGCTCCACTTCAGATGAAAAATCAGACTTTTAAGTACATTTAATGTTATTGGTATTACTTAATTTGATAATACGGAGGCTTAGGCCTCAGAATTCACATGACCTTTGGGCTTGTAAGTATGCAATTTCCACATGCCCCCTTCCAATTTTACCAGGTCCCGGGCTTCGGACTCCCAGGATTTGTCGAAGACTGATTACAATGTACTTTTTATAGTTTTTTGAAAGTACATGAAGTGTTTTATTCCAAAGATTTTTAGCTCACCTGAGCCAAAGGCTCAAGTGAGCTTTTCTGATCAGAATTTGTCCGTTGTCTGTCGTTGTTGTTGTCATTGTCGTTGTTGTTGTAAACTTTTCACATTTTCATCTTCTTCTCAAGAACCACTGGGCCAATTTCAACCAAACTTGGCACAAAGTATCCTTGGGTAAAGGGGATTCAAGTTTGTTCAAATGAAGGGCCACGCCTTCTTCCAAGGGGAGATAATTAAGAATTTGTGAAAAATTAATGGCATCATTAAAAAATCTTCTTCTCAAGAACCACAGAGCGCGAAAATATGAAACTTATGTGGAAGCATCCTCAGGTAGTGTAGATTCAAGTTTGTTCAAATCATGACCCCTGGGGGTCGGGTGGGGCCACAATGGGTGATCAAAGTTTTACATAGAAATATATAGGAATAATCTTTAAAAATCTTCTTCTCAAGAACAGCAAAGCCATGATTGGTCATATTTATATGGTAGCCTCCTCAGATAGTGTAGATTCAAGTTTGTTCAAATCATGACCCCCGGGGGTCGGGTGGGGCCACAATGGGCGATCAAAGTTTTACATAGGAATATATAGGAAAAATCTTTAAAAATCTTCTTCTCAAGAACAGCAAAGCCATGATTGGTCATATTTACATGGAAGCATCCTCAGGTAGTGTAGATTCAAGTTTGTTCAATTCATGACCCCCGGGGGTCGGGTGGGGCCACAATGGGCGATCAAAGTTTTACATAGAAATATATAGGAATAATCTTTAAAAATCTTCTTCTCAAGAACAGCAAAGCCATGATTGGTCATATTTATATGGTAGCCTCCTCAGGTAGTGTAGATTCAAATTTGTTCAATTCATGACCCCCGGGGGTTGGATGGGGCCACAGTGGGCGATCAAAGTTTTACATAGGAATATATAGGAAAAATCTTTAAAAATCTTCTTCTCAAGAACAGCAAAGCCATGATTGGTCATATTTACATGGAAGCATCCTCAGGTAGTGTAGATTCAAGTTTGTTCAAATCATGACCCCCGGGGGTCGGGTGGGGCCACAATGGGCGATCAAAGTTTTTCATAGGAATATATAGGAAAAATCTTTAAAAAATCTTCTTCTCAAGAACAGCAAAGCCATGATTGGTCATATTTACATGGAAGCATCCTCAGGTAGTGTAGATTCAAGTTTGTTCAAATCATGACCCCTGGGGGTCGGTTGAGGCCACAATTGGCGATCAAAGTTTTACATTGGAATATATAGGAAAAATCTTTAAAAATCTTCTTCTCAAGAACAGCAAAGCCATGATTGGTCATATTTACATGGAAGCATCCTCAAGTAGTGTAGATTCAAGTTTGTTCAAATCATGACCCCCGGGGGTCGGGTGGGGCCACAATGGGCGATCAAAGTTTTACATAGGAATACATAGGTTAAATCTTTAAAAATCTTCTTCTCAAGAACAGCAAAGTCATGTTTGGTCATATTTAAATGGAAGCATCCTCAGATAATGTAGATTCAAATTTGTTCAATTCATGACCCCCCCCCCCCCCCCCCCCCCCCGAACCACTTTTTTATTTAAACTTTTCAACCTTTCAAGACTGAACTGAATTCTGCTTTTTCCTAGCCATAGTGCTCAGGTGAGCGATGTGGCCCCTGGGCCTCTTGTTTAAAATCTCGTGATCATGCAGGAAGTATGAACATATTCCTGATCTCGTTCATTATACTCAAAACGTTTGACATCTTTATGTATCATACCCTGTACAAAATGTTCCACCTGGAAAAAGGCATAATCAAGACAGAATTCTCAGTAAAATTCCAGGCGTAAAACTTACTATAAATGTTAAAGCAATATAAGCAGAAACCAAGCGTTAACCAAGCGGAGACTAGCTGGAAATTTGAGGCGAAAATGTAATTAGTTCCGCCTGGAAATTGACATTCTGCCTGCATAAAAAATTGAAATTCCACCTAGAATTGAAATAACAGGATTCCGCCTGAATATAGATTCCATTTAAACTGTCCAAAATATTTCTTTTTATAATTTCCAGCTATTTTCCCACTGAACTAAATTCAGCCTAGAATTTGATGACTGGAATCTGTTAAATTTAGGCGGAATCTCTGAGAGCCTTGAATTTGTGGATTCGGTGGAATACCCTTGGTGTCCAACGAAATTCTGGGCGGAATCCACCTTAATTGTTTGTACAGGACTAAATCATAATCACTAAAATGTTTAATTTCACATCAGTCAGTCGTAAAATTAAGTGCCAACTTGACTCAGAATTACCTTACTACCTGCTAAGATGCTAGAAAGCTAAAAATACATGCAGGGTTTTCTAGTAAATGTTGTTGAAAATCGTAATTTATTCATTTTGTTTTCCAGAAATTTTTATTGGTCTGTTGGGACTTACTAGCGACAGATTTTATTAGTCCAAATGAAAATGTATTAGTCTGATCAGACTAACGGACTAACATTAGTGTTGAACCCTGACATTAAAATATCTCAGGCATATATTTAGTCAGGCCATGCTTACACTGTATAAAACATGATGCTGGAAAGTTGAATTGAAAATTTAAGTCTCCTTTATCAGTCTCTAACAAAAACTTTTAACTAAATCAGTAGAATTAATTTAAAATTCATAGTCTTTCCGAAATGTTTAGACTTTATATTTTGCAATAATTACTTAAGTGTTCATTATTGATATCCCTTATCTTAATTCCTGAAACTGACAAATCACAGTAGCCTAGACGGTAGTTGTTGTCGGTACTCGCATTATAATTAATAGGTCCCTGTTCAATTCTTGTTCCTAGCACCTTGTCAATCCAAGATGTTTGAAATAGGTAATGAGATTGTTCGGTTACTAAGCTGTGACTCTATAAGTGAAAGATGCATGTGTTTTAAATGAAACCTTAAAAATCAAGGTCTCATTTCATGGTAGGCAAAATAAAAAAAAAAACCTCCAGTGTTAAGCTACTAGTATACATTGTAGTGAAACCAAATATCGAAATTTTATGATATGGTGTCATATGTTTTTTTTTTTTTTTCAACCACAAATTAAATCCCCTCAAATCATGAAAATTTAAACCAGTGAAAATAACCAATTTTGCATTAATTGAGAAACTTGCATGTATTTGAAAGCTTCCTGAAATACCAGTAGTGTAGATTCAAGTTTGTTCAATTTATGGACCCTAGGGGTAGGGTAGGGCCACAGAAGAGGATCAAAGTTTACATGGAATGACAGAAACATGATTTAAATTAGTCATATTTATTATATCCATGGAATGACAGAAACATGATTTAAATTAGTCATATTTATTATATCCATGTCCTTACCAAATTTCTGTTGCACTTTTCTCAGCAACTACTCATCGAAGGTGCTTAATATTTTAGCACGCTCTCTGTTTAGGCATGCTATATGGTAGGATGTATTTTTGTAGGAATCCCATGTTAACTTCCTGTTTATCCCTCCATCTGTCCGTACTAAATTTCCATCACAGTTTTCTCAACAACTGTTAAGGATGATGCTTGAAAGTTTAGCACACTTTTAAATTGTTTAGGCATGCCATATGGTGGGATTCATTTTTGTATGAATTTGACGTCAACTTCCTGTTTACCCCTGTGCTTGTCCGTACCAAATTCAAATCAGTGCGGGAATTATAATTACTAGTGAGCATTGGCTCGATCACAGACTTCTTGTTTTCTATTTGATAGGAATGTCTTTTACTTTGATTAGCTAAAATACTTATTTAGTTCTTCACAAATATTCTAAGAATGTTCTTTTTTTATAATATGTGTAACCATTACTGTTTCTTGAGTCAAGATTTTTTAAATTTATTTTATTGGTATTTATTTCTACTAGAAGCAGCTACTAGGGAAGATTTAATGAAGGAAGATGAGGAAGTGGAGAAAAAGCTGAAGAACAAGGAGGACAAGGTGAAGAAAGGACAAGGTTATTACATTATGTATCTCACAGTATTTTTACAAAGCCCTCTCAAATCCTGATTTATATAGTTTTTTTGTAAAACTTAAGAATGAATTCTTATTTAGTTCTTGATCCTTAAATATAAATGAAGAAGGTAACAATTTTTACAGGGCACAGTGACTTGCAGTGTGTGTCATGTAACATTATTACAACATCTATATCATGGGTCCATAATTTTGAGTAAGTCATTCATCAACCACTTTATCTGTACTGGAAACCATTTCTGAGAGGGATGAAGTGATGGAAGATAATGAGCCAGAGGGTGGAACGGAAGAGAAAGGGAAAGAAATAAAGAAAAAGGCAGAATGAAAAAGGACTAGGTAATTATTATCACAATCCCCCCCCCCTTCCCCATCAATGTATTTCTTCAAGTCAACAAAATTACCATGTACTTATCTTATTCTTTCATAAATATTTTGAGAAAAAATATCAAAACATCAACTTTGACTGGATGTAGTGACTTGCATGTGTGTAATTAGCTATGGTCGATACAATGACCTTGTCAGCAAAAACAATCTTTCATTACATGTAAGTCGAATGCGGACTGATGTTTTTAATACTAATTGTTTGGCCATTATTTACACATTGAATTGTCTGTTTACACATTGAATTGTCTACAGACTTTTCCGTTTTCCCGATCATGACAAGGAGCACACATCAAATGTGAATGATTGGCAGAGGATGTTTACTCCTATATTGCACCTGATCCCACCTCTGATGTTTTTAGTGGTCCGTGTTTGCTCCTGATTTGTATTTTTTCTATGGACTCTTGAGCTTCGTTACCTCCATAATTATATGATTGTACAGTGAAAACTGTCTAATCTGACACCTGTGCAATCCGTCACACTGTAAATTCCAAGGTTAAATTTCATTCCCATTTTACTTTTTTCTATGTTTTTTTACACTGATCAATACGACGCCCTATCTATTCCGACAAAAAATTTGTCTCCCAGTGCATGTCGGATTACACAGGTTTCACTGTATGATTAAGTGGTATTTGAGTACTCTTTACTGGAACCCAGGAACATCTTTATTTTTTTTTACTTTGTGTCATCTAGTTTAAGATAATGAGATTGGACTGTATATAGGTAATTCATCATGAAAAATGTTACATGTTACATGACTATGCCCTGACTTTACCTTAGGCTGAAAATGTCAATCAAGACACATTTCTAGTCTTTGCAAGTACTTGTAAATCTGTTCAGTCATGTTTTTTTTTCTTTTGTGTGAATCAAGCTGCACACTTTGAAACTTTGAATCATAACCTTGTTAATTGATGCCTGTTATAGGGGAAACGTTATTTCTTGACCAGGCTTTAATAGCAGCAAGAAATATAGGTGAATTTGAGGTCATGGAAATATTTTAGGTAATAACAAAAGTATGTATTTCACATTCTAGTACCAAAACGTTTCTGTCAAAGTCAAGCAGGTACATGAAAACGAATAAGTTACTAACCACTCTTTTCTCAGATAAATCACTAAAAAGGTTCAGTATGCCAAGATTTTTCATGAATCTGGTAAAATCCGAAACTTGACAAATTGAGTTTTTGTCAGTTTAGTAGTTTATCGAATTGGATTTTTTTTTTTTACAGAACTTGCAATAGAAGAAAGAGTTGAGGAAATGAAGAGGAAGAAATTGAAGATGAAAAGAAGAGCTCTGGGAGGAAAAAAGTGAGCATAGTGCAGTTATTTCTATCATTTTACATTTTATTGCTGCATTATCAGATGCCGTCTGAATCATAAACCTTATCTACTGATAAAGATGATGGGCAAACAAGGCAAGTAAATGCCTATTGTGTGACAAAAAAAGATGTAAAAAGTTAAATCTTAATCATGTCAAAATTTTCTTTTATACTTCATGTAACATTATTGTATACCTTATGTAAAATCTTTGCAATTTGCTACAATCTTATAACGATTAATATTATTGGTCTATGAAATAGCAGATACACACCAAAAGAGTGCAAAAATGGTCATTTTTTCCTCCTATATCATACTTTTTAAATATGAGTAGGTCTTCACTCCATATTTTGGTAAGATTATACTCGAAGCATATTTAAAACTTTTCCTATTTCGTTTGACAAAAACATGGTGAAATGACCAACTCTTCTAAAAATAGACTTTTATGTCACAACTAGTGATGGGAATTGGTAAGAATTTCATAATCGATGATCAGGCTACTGTAACTAACTAATTATCAATTATAATCGGACATTTACAAAGTCTGTCAATTTTAGTTTATTAAATGGTAAGAATGGTTGAATAACTACTTTCTGTGGTGGTCCAGCTGTAGTTGGAATAACTGTGTCTCGGAACAACCCCTAGTCCTTAGGACAATATCATTTTAACGACAGAATGTTCTATCTAGTCAAGCTGGTTCTACGCTCATTTTGTAGAATCCAGAGTACGTCCATACCCAGGAATGAGCGTTGTTACCTGGGTATGAATACAATGTCTCTTTGTCTGTGCCATTACGATATGCATATAAGTTAATAGAAAAGTTGCGGCTGGAATATTTGGCTTAAAAACTATTACGCTTTTTAAATAAAATTAATAACCCGATTAATCAGAATAAAAAATTTGTAATCGAGTGCTTGGATTATGCCAGCAATTGACTGATTTTCGATTATAATCGATGATTGGAACACCACTAGTCACAACAACATTCATATCATGGTTTGACATTAACTTTTATGAGTACTAGATCAGTCGTGCTACTTCCCATAATTTTTACTAGCTCTGACCATAAATTCACTAGCGCTGACCAAATTTGAAAATTTTCTATTTATAACCTCCTATTATAATGGGAAAAAAGTTTTGAAACCATACTACAGTGTATCTCTCGCATGTGTTCATGTATACATTTTGACAGACTGTTGAGCCCATAGGTAGCAGCCCAATGAGTGAACATGCGAATGATATAAGCTTTAAAGAACATTAATTCAAGGAACTTAAATAAAATTATTACCGTAAATATACATGTAAATAAATTAAAAACTACAATATTCAATGAATATTTATACCAAATGATACTGAACAAAGCTGAGGTTTCGATTGTGACTTGTCTATTACAGCCGGTCTAAAAAAAATAGCAATTGTGTCATGCAGGAAAGTTTTCTTTTTCAGAGCAATGGCTGTGTTTGCAATCTGAAAATTAAGAAAATTTCTTTAAAAAGTTTTTAGTCAGAGCATTTATTTGAAAGACTGAAATGAGAGTTAACATTTATTTCATCCACACAACCAGTCGGGCAAGTTATTGAACATTTAACATGACGGAACATGCATTTACTAGACTGGGTCAGTCGGACGTGCCTTAGTGTCAAACCCTGCATATCTTTCAGAAATATATTTGAAATCCATTTAGTCAAGAGCCACATTTTTAAACGTGATTTACATATGTAAATGCCCATTTTTGTCATGAGCTACATGTATGTAGTTTAGTGGTTAGCATGTTAGTCTCTTAGAAAAAAAACTGATATTCAGGATTTAATTTCATTGCTTGGGTTTCAACCCCTAGAATACCACTTTTTTTTTTTTTATCATAGAATGATTTTTGCTTAAAGAATTTTCCACAGAAAAGTTTTGTTTGTAATATAATGTTATACCTTTCAATAAGAAGAACTTTACTCTAAATACTAAACTCAGTATTTGAATATGACTTTTATACATTTGAAGCTATAGGCTTTTTGCATGCCTTGTTCACCCATCTCCTTATGCACATTATGAAACATGTAAAACTAATTATTACATATTACTGTTACTTGGTAGACTTTTAGTGTAATTAAAATTAGGTCTTTCATTTTACTCCATTTATTAATATATGTTACTAATGAGAGACAGATAAATATACAGGAAAAGCTAAATGAATCTAATTTGTGTAGCTTGTTGAATGTTTTCATTTATAATATTCTTATAAGTGACTTGCTTGGATACATGTTTTCATTTTGAAAAAATCCTTATTTGTCTAGATGCATGTATTCTGTTGTGAGTACTTATATAGTCCTAACTATAAAGATTCCAACCTTTTGATATGTAAATTATAGAACAAGATGAGATTAAAGTTTGGCACTTTAAACTGGAAAGCTTGATAGGAAACCAAAGGCAAGGACAAAAGAAAAGGATAACCCAAAATTTCAGAAAGTGTTTGTTAAGTTGTGAATATACTTTTCGCTGTGTATTCTTTTTAGTGCCTTTGTCGGAAAGCAATGTCCGCTAATTCAAGTACAACGCTAAATGTCTTGCACAAATACACATAAAGAAGAACATTAACAAATGCTCTAAATCAAATCTCCGCTAACTTGCTCAGTAATCAACTTCTGCCAAATATCGTACATGCTAAATATTATACATTTACAGTAATTCAAAAGGCTAACAAGTTCTAAAGGATAATCATTTAATACAAATCAAATACACAAAATGTTAACTAGCTGTTTTAGGAATTTTAATTTTAAAATTTATTCTTGTTCTTTTGCTTTTAAAGAAGTGTTGTTGTGTCTTAATTAAGATTGGAAACTTGATCACTGATATATTTTTATTTCATTTTTATGTAAAAGCTTTAATGGTTCTATTATATAATTATGTATTTCAGTTCCATTTGTAAGATGTGTGGACAAAAGAAAAACAGCCATAGAGTGCCAATGTGGAGTGGAATAAGTCAGTATGACTTAAACATGGTCAATTGAAGTGTTTGAATGCCCCTCCAGAATGCAGAACAATCTTTGAATTTGCAGGAAAGAGTATAAAATTTGCTGTTAAAATATCATAACAGCTAGACAAAGATTAAATAACAACTACATGTACATCTAAAGAATTCTTTTGTCATAATAGTGATTCATGTGCTAGTACATGTGACAAGTGCTATAACGACCTAATATAAGTGTGTTTTAGGAGCATGTTGACTCTATTGTAAATGTATTGACTCCTTATATGACCTCATTTATATATAACATTATATGAATGGTAGTGTAGTGACTTGAAATGTGTGTTAGTAGTATAGCTCGTTATGTGTGGTAATTTTGTTATTTGTTTTACATGTATGATAGTACATATAGTATGGTGACTCATGTGTTGGGAATTAATGTATAATTTTATGTGTGTCACTGGTATAACTCATAATGTGTGTAAATATTGTTTTTTGTAATACATATTAGTAGTGTAGTGACTCGACATGTGTGTAAGTAGTGTAGTGACTCGACATGTGTGTTATGAGTGTAGCTTATGATGTGTGGTTATTTTGTGTACGTATGTAGTATGGTGATTCATGTGTTAGGAATGTATAATTTTATGTATGTTACTGATATGCCTCATCGTGTGATTTAAAATGGTTATTTGTAATGTATATATTAGTAGTAAAGTGACTCAACATGTGTGTTAGAAGTGTAGTGACTCGACATGTGTGTTAGTAGTGTAGCTTATTATGTGTGGTAATTTTGTTATTTGTTATGTGAGTTGTACATGTAGTATGGTGACTCATGTGTTGGGAATGTATAATTTTATGTGTGTTACTTGTATTGCTCATCGTGTGATTTAAAATTGTTATTTGTAAGGTATATATCAGTAGTGTAGTGACTCAACATGTGTGTAAGTAGTGTAGTGTCTTGACATGTGTGTAAGTAGTGTAGTTACTTGACATGTGTGTTAGTTCTGTAGTGACTCGACATGTGTGTTAGTAGTGTAGCTTATTATGTGTGGTACTTTTGTTATTTGTTATGTGAGTTGTACATGTAGTATGGTGACTCATGTGTTGGGAATTTATAATTTTATGTGTGTTACTGGTATAACTCATTGTGTGTGTTTTAATATAGTTATTTGTAGTGTATATATTAGTATTGTAGTGACTCCACAAGTATGTTAGTGTGTAGTGACATGACATGTGTGTTAGTAGTGTAGTGACTCGACATGTGTGTTTGAAGTGTAGCTTATTATATGTGGTATTTTTGTTATTTGTTATGGTTGTTGTATATGTAGTATGGCAACTCATGTGTTGGGAAAGTATATTTTAATTTGATGTGTGTTACTGGTATAGCTCATTGTGTGTTTTAATAATTTTTTTTGTAATGTATATTTTATTAGTGTAGTGACTCGACATGTGTGTTAGTAGTGTAGTGACTCGACATGTGTGTTAGTAGTGTAGTGACTCGACATGTGTGTTAGTAGTGTAGCTTATTATGTGTGGTAATTTTGTTATTTGTTATGTGTGTTGTACATGTAGTATGGTGACTCATGTGTTGGGAATGTATTATTATATTCTTGCTCCAAAAGATACTGTTTTACCCTTGTCTGTCTAGCTGTGTGTGTGTCTGTCTGACTGTCCATAACAAATTTTTGGTCACAGTTTTCTCAGCAACTACTCATTGCAGATGCTTGAAATTTTAGCATACTCTTTGTTTAGGCTTGGTGGGAATCATTTTCATACAAATCTGATGTCAACTTCCTGTTTATCCATGTGTCTGTTCATACCACACATAACACATTTTCGTCGCAGATTTCTAAGCACTACTTATTGCTTGAAATTTTAGCACACTCATTGCTGAGGCATGTCATATGGTGGGATTCATTTTTGTATGAATTTGATGCCAACTTCCTTTTTATCTGTGTGTCTGTCCGTACCGTACATAACGAATTTTTTTCGCAGTTTTTTCAGCAATTACTCAGAGCAGATGCTTGAAATTTTAGCACATTCTTTATTTTGGCATGCCATATCGTGGGATTTATTTTTGTACAAGTCTGATGTCAACTTTCTGTTTATCTGTGTGTCTGTCTATACCATATATAACAAATATTTGTTGCAGTTTCTCATCAACTACTTATTGCAGATGCATGAAAGTTTACACACTCTTTGTTTAGGCATGCCATATGATGGGATTCATTTCTGAATTTGATGTCAACTTCCTGTTTAACTGTGCGTCTGTCTGTATAATATGGAACAAATTTTTGTCAAAGTTTTTTCAGCAACAACTCATTGCAGATGCTTGAAATTTTAGCACACTCTTTGTTGACGCATAATTGTCATATGGTGGGATTCATTTTTGTATGAATCTGATGTCAACTTCCTGTTTATTCATGCATCTGTCCATAGTTGAACTTGTGAATATACACATGATAGTGTATATTCAAATCACAGCGGAGGTATTACCTGAGTGAGCATTGGCTCACAGACTTCTTGTTTTATGTGTGTTACTGGTATAGCTCATCATGTGATTTAATGTTGTTATTTGTAATGTATATATTAGAAGTGTAGTGACTCGACATGTGTGTTAATAGTGTAGTGACTCGACGTGTGTTTGTAGTGTAGCTTTTTATGTGTGGTAATTTTGTTATTTGTTATGTGTGTTGTACATGTAGTATGTTGACTCATTACGTGTGGGGAATATGTGATTTTATGTGTGTTATTGGTAAAGCTCCTCATGTGTTCTTATATTGTTATTTGTAATATACAGTGAAACTTGTCTTATTCGGATGTTGTGTACTCCAAAAACTTGACTTATACAATGTTAACTTTAAGTCACCTGCAGTAGACTCAATTGTTTTAAGTGTTGTCCAACCTGGAATGTCGTCTAATCCAGCGAATTTCTCGACATGTGTGTAAGTAGTGTAGTGACTCGACATGTGTGTAAGTAGTGTAGTGACTCGACATGTGTGTTATGAGTGTAGCTTATGATGTGTGGTAATTTTGTTATTTGTTATGTGAGTTGTACATGTAGTATGGTGACTGGTGTGTCGGGATTGTATAATATTAAATGTGTTACTTGTATAACTCATTGTGCGATTTAAAACTGTTATTTGTAAGGTATATATTAGAAGTGTAGTGACTCGATATGTGTGTAAGTAGTGTAGTGACTCAAATTGTGTGTAAGTAGTGTAGTGACTCGGCATGTGTTTTATGAGTGTAGCTTATGATGTGTGGTAATTTTGTTATTTGTTATGTGAGTTGTACATGTAGTATGGTGACTGGTGTGTCGGGATTGTATAATTTTAAATGTGTTACTTGTATAACTCATCATGCGATTTAAAACTGTTATTTGTAAGTTATATATTAGAAGTGTAGTGACTCGACATGTGTGTAAGTAGTGTAGAGACTCGACATGTGTGTTAGTAGTGTAGTGAATCAACATGTGTGTTAGTAGTGTAGCTTATTATGTGTGGTAATTTTGTTATTTGTTATGTGAGTCGTACATGTAGTATGGTGACTCGTGTGTTGGGAATGTATAATTTTATGTGTGTTACTTGTATTGCTCATCGTGTGATTTAAAATTGTTATTTGTAAGGTATATATCAGTAGCGTAGTGACTCAACATGTGTGTAAGTAGTGTAGTGTCTTGACATGTGTGTAAGTAGTGTAGTTACTTGACATGTGTGTTAGTTCTGTAGTGACTCGACATGTGTGTTAGTAGTGTAGCTTATTATGTGTGGTACTTTTGTTATTTGTTATGTGAGTTGTACATGTAGTATGGTGACTCATTTGTTGGGAATGTATAATTTTATGTGTGTTACTGGTATAGCTCATTGTAAGTTTTAATATTGTTACATGTATTTGTAATACATATTTTGTATTGTTATTTTGATTTGTTTGTTGTACATGTAGCATGGGATTCATTTTGTGTTGGGAATGTAGAATTTTACCTGCGGTAGTGTACATGTAGCTCAATTTGTGTGCTAATATTGTTATTTTTATGTGTAATAGTCATGTAGTGACTCAATATGTGTGTAAGTAGTGTAGCTCATTATGTGTTTTCATGTTGAGTTAGTTTAGAAGAGTGTTGACTTACTGTGTAAGTTAGAGTAGCCTCTTGCTATGTGTGAGCATAATATAAAAAGACACCTTTTTATGATGTGTTTATAATTATTAAAACATTGCTAAATATAATATTATATCAACCTCTATTGATAAACTTGCATGTGTTTGAATTTCTAATGTAATGTAAGCTACATGAATAGATCATATTTTGACTGAATTTTGAATAAGCACAATTTGTGATGATTTTTATTTTTGAAATAAACAGAAATTTAATTTTCTTTGTATATGTTTATTTTTTCGTTAGATTGCAGAATAAAACTACATAACTTTTGCAGTATTAAATATCTAGAAATGCTTTTCATGACCAGAATGGTGGATACTTATACAGTTAAAATATACCACTGAGGGAGTTAGCAAGATTCCAGTTCCCCAAGGCCAAGACTATTTCCCGAGGTGAAGCCGAGGGAAATAGTCCTGGTCGAGAGGAACTGAAATCTTGCTAACTCCCGTAATGATATACTTTTAACTGTTTTATTATACTGATAAAAACTTAAATTTAGAGTTAGAGGATTCAGATAGCATGATTTCATAGCAGGGATTAGCTCACTAACTAACTAACACACGGGGATTAGTCCATTCACATATCATACCAATGTAAAAGTAAAATCTAGAGGATTACGGATAACCGGGAATTAGCTTTCGAAGCAGGGATTAGCTCACTTGACTAACGCACGGGGACTAATCCATTCATTACGATTTCTAGGGAATTAGTCACATCTAACGATCTAATGTTCTATAGGGAAAAAATCAGTAGAGATATGATAAAACTATATAACATGTTATTCTGCTTCGGAGAACGAGTTAAGGGGAAGATCAAATTGGGTAAGAATTATAGACCAATGCAAACTGATGTACAGTGTATATAAAAGCAGATAAATGTTTGTCGGTGGTATGCTGTAAATTTTAAATGATAAAAGCTTGACTTCAACTGTAGAAAATTCTCGAATGGGACAAAAATACACACAATCAATCAATCAGCTGTAGGAAATATCCCTACTAAAATATCATGGTAAAGTTAGATCAAAATAACGATAGTGATTTATAATGCACATTATTGTGAAACCTAAAAGACATCTTAAAAGAAACGGGGCGTATAAGGCGGGGACAATCACCCGCTCTGAGATAATAAATTTCTCAATCTTTAAAGTTCATGGAAAAGTTATATTTTTCTAAGATAAAGTTTTCAGGAATGGCATTTTCAACATATTTGATTCATTTATTTTATTAAATGGCATTGGTTGATGATTTGTTTTAAAGTTGTAAGTAAAGCATATTTAGTGGAAAACTGGTTTT